TGTGAAGGCGAGGATCGGCAAAGCAAGAGCAACATGTTTACAACTGAGGAAAATCTGAAACTCAAAACAGTTGTCAACCAACACCAAGGTCAGTATTTTCAATACAAATGTCAAGGCAGTTCTACTGTATAGGGCGGAAACCTGGAGAACTACGAAAGCCATCATCCAGAAGATACAGGTGTTTATTAACAGTTGTCTACGCAAAATACTTCAGATCCGTTGGCCGGACACTATTATCAACAACATACTGTGGGAGAGAACAAACCAGATCCCAGTGGAGGAAGAAATTAGGAAGAAGAGCTGGAAGTGGATAGGACACATATTGAGGAAAGCACCCAAATGCGTCACAAGGCAAGCCCCCACATGGAATCCCAAGGCCAAAGGAAAAGTGTAAGACCAAACGATACATTACTTTGAGAAATGGAGACAGACATGAGAAAAATGAACAAAAATCGGATAGAACTGGAAAGGAAAGCCCCAGGACGAAATGGGTTAGAGAATGCCGGTCGGCGGACTATTCTAGATTGGGAGTAACAGGCGTAAGTAAGTAAGTCCCAACATTCAGCGGAGAGTGAAGATATGATCAGCACATCCTCGACCAAAACGTAAACCAGCCTCCTCCTCATGAAACTTTGACAATCTGCGAAGCATGACTGAAGAAAACAATTTGGACGCAATCAAAAACAGGGTTGTTCCTCGATAGTTATTGCATAGGTCACATGAACCTTTTGTAAGAATAAAGACAACTATCGGTTCATGGCACGATGTTGTGGCACTACCTGACTACCAGACCTCTGCAAATAACTAAGTCATTTTCTTAACCAGAAGGTCACTACCGTTTTTAAAATGGTTGGAGGTAAGCCCTCTAGGCTTAGTGCTTTGTGGTGCTTCAGCTTGAAATACTATTTCACTCACACCACACTCCTTGCTGCTAGTTGGAAGAGCTTCCCACACTGTTGGTGCCTGCAGAAACTCAGTATTTACAAGCGAGACATTTCGCGAAGCCATATTCGACTTTACTCTCCATTTTTAAGGCGTCACGCAACTGCGTGCAATGCTCATATATAATTTTCGGTGGGATGGCAGCTAGCCTTGAATCTAGTTCGCTTTGGTATTCAGTTGCAACAAAAGCCGAAACCGATTAGTTTACATCAACTCGTTTATGACGGTGAGTTCGTTGGCCACTGAAAAGTAAAATAAGATTCGCACAAACAAGACCATGATCAGAGTCCATGTAAGTACTCCAAAAGGAGCGGGTGTCTTGTATATATCCACGTCAGCTGTAGCTGATCGTGATGTGAACAATTTTGATCCAGATTAGGGATGCAAAAGGAGGACGTCAGATGCCAGTAGTGCAAGCCAGAAACAGGTTAAAATCTGTGCAAAAATGCATTAGATGGCCTGACCTGCGACCAACAAGACCAACCATACCCCACCGAAAATACTCTGCTCTGTGCTCAGACTCCTGACCTGCACGATAAAGTTACCGGTTAGTACTACAATATATCTGGAATACATTTTCTTTAGAAAACCGTTTAACTGGTGGTAAAACTCATCTTTCGTTGGATTTGGGCTACAATCAGTTGAAGTGTAGGCAGATATAACCGACAGAAATCGTTTCTCACACTTATTTCTTACCATTAAGATGGAAGTTTCTTGTCTGACGGTACATAATCGATCAACAGTGAGAATTTAATCGATCAGTGCTGACTCATCGTATGGTAACAATTACCAAAATATGATGGAGAACACATTCAGACAGGAGATAGAACAATAGATTTAATATGAGTATAAGATATAAGGTAACATTCAACAAGGACCACGACTGCGCGGCCAAGCCATGCCATCCGATCAACTCGAATTCATTCAATTCATTCTTCCCGCCTTCTCCATCGTTGGGTTTTTCTCCGCGTTAAATAGTGAACATCTGTTTTCCCAAGCGTTTCGTGTTCAGCTTTGATGATTGTGTGGTTAGGGCCCAATGCCACTACATATACATAAAGATTGCTTCTACTGCAAACCAGAACAACTAAAACACATGGTTTCTGTCTGAATAATCGTTATAATTATGTTGCACAAGTATATATCCAACTATAACGTGGTTGTGTAAATTGTCGTTACAAACTCTGCAACAGTTTTTGGGATGTATATCATAGTTACCATAACACGATTCAGTACTGAACCAATCCCCGTCTGGAAAATAATTTTGTGCGCCTTAAGTCGGAACAGCTGAAACATAATTTTCTATGGCTCCCTTCAACAATGATGAGAGTAGTGTAGTTTAAAAGCCAGTATATCCAGTTGTGCTTCCCATCAAACGTCATTTAAGTGATGAGAAAGTCTGTGGCTATTTACATCAAAGTTAACTTTTGCTTGAGTTCTTCATTGTTAACGTCAGCAATCAAACTTGCACGAACCTGAATACGTATCTGTGGCGGACGAAATATATCAGTACCAAAATAATGATAGGCGACTAATAATTAATAAGTAAACCTGAATTCCTTATTCCACTATATCTATATCGTATTAACGGTTCAAATCAGTTATATTATCTGAATATGTTAAACAACTGACTGGAACATTAAAATAACACAAACTTTCAATTACAAATACATTCTTCCTCATTGAATTCATTCTTTTATCTTTATTTATTTTCATTTTATGCATGCTGTGACATTTTTGATTCATATCATATATAAAATGATATGTTTTCTTAATATTCACCGACCGAAGACAATATATAGTGAATGAAATATCTTCTTCTCATTTACGTATACACACAGTCTGTTATCTTACCACTTTTCGTTTCACACAACATGTCTCTTACACACTAATGTAAATACCTACTTTAAGCATTGTTCACGTTGATTGGATGACTTATTCAGTATACAGCAAACCAGAGAACCATGTACCTATTTATGTTCGATAATTTTGATGTTTGATTATATTTCCTTGAAAAAGCTTGAACCAGATCGCCAGGCGAAACGTTGAATTTACCTCAAATTCATTCGCTGAGATTTCACAAATACTTTCTTCCTCTTTCATTAAAAACTAAACACCTAAATACACAATAAAAAACCATAAAATAACACAGCTTTTGTATTTGAAAAAAACAAACAGTGTGGTGGACCCAACAGTATATTAACCAAAAAGGAATAGCAGTAAAGTTATTACGTTCAAAATTTAATATAACAGTAAACAACTTATAAATTAATAACGCAAAACAAAAGTTCAGGGACGTTACTTAAATCAGCGGGCTGTTGCCTGTTCCGTTGTGCTTGGTACCAAAGATCCACAATTATATACAATTAATAATTTCAATGAGGTAAATATGGCTCCAACTAGTTTTCTCGACGTAGAATCCAATAAGAATGTTACAACAGTCTATAAATATAGTTGATAGTTAATCAGTAGTTTAGTTATTATATCCATAGACATGACAGAACGAGGCATGTGTGTATAAGAGTGTATTTATTAATGCACAGTTAACAATGCCGTGCTATGTGTAATTCAAAACGGAAGAAAGTTTGTTTTCAAGGTCACATACTTAAACAACAAGTAAAATCGTTTAGTGATAAATGTACAGATTGTGGAAATAAACAAAATAAATGCAAAAGCTATCAAAAACTATTTACAAAATAGGTTTATTAGGCCTATCTCCACAACAGTATCATCAAAAGATCATCTGAAATTTTATATTTGCTTCTAAAAACGATTAGTTTTCATTAGTTCAGGGGTTGTGGACATTGTTAAGTTTTTGTTTGAGATCATGAACCGACTGATGCTAGACCGCCATTGAGCTAATCCGCGTCGGGAAGAAATATGTGCCTACCTCAGTACAATAGAAGATGGTCGCGCAACTTCGTGGATTGCTTGAGGTTAGACATTGACACCATTGGATGCCGGCTCAGTGGTCCAGTAAGTTAAGCGTTCGCGCGCGGGACTGAAGGCCCCGGGTTCGAATCCTGCCTGAGGGATCGTGAATGCGCACTGCTGAGGAGTCCCACAATATGGCGAAACGGCCGTCCAGTGCTTCTAGGTTTTCAATGGTGGTCTAACATCAATCCATTCATTATCTCAATCAAAAACGAATAGTTTGCAATTCGTTCAGCTCATAATTGCTGTTACATTATAATACATATACTGTCTTATTTCTGACTTAAGCTCTAGTCCATTAGTGACTTCTAGTGTACGTACTGTTATGATCTATGGATTACTGGTTCGTACTTGCTTACTTACTTACTGGCTTACTTACTTACTCCTGTTACTCCCAATGGAGCATAGGCCGCCGACCAGCATTCTCCAACCCACTCTGTCCTGGGCCTTCTTTTCTAGTTCTATCCAATTCTTGTTCGTTTTTCTTATATCCATCTCCATTTCCCGGCGTAGTGTGTTCTTTGGTCTTCCTCTTTTCCTTTGGCCTTGAGGATCCCTAGTGAGGGCTTGTCTTGTGACGCAGTTGTGTGCTTTCTTCAATGTGTGTCCTATCCACTTCCAGCTCTTCTTCCTAATTTCTTCCTCCACTGGGATCTGGTTTGTTCTCTCCCACAGTATGTTGTTGCTAATAATGTCCGGCTTTTATATTACACTCAATACTTTTAATTCTGCTTATTATCAAGAATTATTTAAAAAATCATTGAAATTTTCATCATTGCTTTAGTTTACTGAAATCCATAGATGTTTAAGTAGTAAATGTTATGTTTATTTCAGTAGTTATTTTTTTATTCTACTTATAATCAACATAAAATATGTTCATTAAAATTCAATAATAATAATTTATACTGATGTAAACAAAATAGACTCCTATTTCCTTCTATTTACAGATTAAATTTCAAACTCCTCCCATTTGTAATATTAGACTATATAAATATGGACTTGGCTACTTTGGATAAATACCTATAATTCATTTGTTAAACGTATATAAATATATTAAGTTATGATAAAATAACTCATCACTAAAACTGTCCTAGTATAGTGAATTTTGGTTGTTTGTTTTCTTAATGGATGAAAATCTGAAAACAGTAAGTAATGTGTATTTATACAAATTGTATGTGAAGTTGTTTATTTATGCTTAACAATGAATTTGAATGTTTCAACTTGAAATTAATCAACCGGTTTTTTTTTAATTTTACATGTCACTGTAATAAAATGTGTAAATAAAGATTTATACTAACATCTTTGATTTCTGTGAATATGTTTATTATTCAGTGAAGAACCTTCAGTTCTCATCGAGATCTTCAGATTCTTTCATTCATTTTGATAAATTAATACAATATCGATATGACATCCTGTATGGGATTTAGTGTAAGTAAATACAATTAACGTAGGTCTTATAGGTCTTGGTCGAAACTTACACTTATCAGTGATGTCTTCTAAAACGTTTACTGTATATTCTTACTCTAATCAAATTAATTTATGAATTATCGCTTGATGTCATGGATAAAACATAAATTCTATGCTGTTTGAAGCATCTTATACTGCAATAAACCCAATTTATCACAAAATTAATATATTTTTATCCAAACAATATAGAAAATAATTTTTATTGATATTAAACATTCATTTAGCGACATTTATGGTGTTTGCAACAACCTTTAATCATTTCACAGGTTGAAATTATGAGTCAACTAAAGCTAGACCACCATGGAAAACCTGGAGGCACTGGACGGCCGTTTCGTCCTAGTATGGGACTCCTCAGCAGTGCGCATCCACGATCAGTGAAATTTCTAAAATCTCCACAAACCCCTTCTGATAATAGATAATATTATCAAATCCCCACTAAATAACAACTGTGAATCATAAAACTATTGTAGTTCATTTACAAGCCGTATCAAAGTTCAGCGATTCTTTCTGATGATCTCATTTTATATGACATTGAAAGTTTAACAAATGGACTGTTTAATCCATAGATTGTAACACTACTATAGGTAATATATACTAGTCAAAAATAAACATAATGTGAAAGTGATTTTCAATTATTTATACAGTAAATGATTAAATTATCAATCAAGGCTACCTAGGCTATCGGGACTGAACAATCAATGGATAAAATTACAGATTTGCAGTGAAATTTAAAGTTAAACACTACAATTCAAATGGCTTTGTAAGGTGAAATTTTCATTCTTTTCTATTTCGTTGACTATAAAATGCTATCAAGATAGATTAAACTATTCTAGTAGTAGTAGAAGTTTTGTTTCTTCGTTATCTAATGATTTAAAGTGTAATTCCTAGTCGTATCATTTGGATATTTATATGAACTTTTGATCTACCCATTTATTTAAACAGATTTAGAACATTCACTTAGTGTTGTTTAACTTGAATCTTCCTTTTACTGTTTAAGAATGCAATTTATCAGTCTCATGTTGGCATATGTTCATCCTGTGCGGATTATTTCGATATTGCCTTAAGTCACAAGCACTATAAGCAAAGATCGATAGTGACTAGCAGTGGAATACAGGCCACGTGTTTCGTCCTATTTAGGATTCGTCAGCTGGATGTGTCTGCATCGCAGTGTTGATGTTCACTCTGGGACTAGAACCGAGTGTCGTTCACTTCAAACACCATTGCATTATCCACTTAGTTACTGAATCCTGATAGCCACTTGCTTGTTCAATGGGATGATGTCTAAATTCACTTGGTATTGCTTTCCGTGTATCTTCCCACTGATGTTTAGGATTGCAAGCGATCAGTCACTTATTGGCATATTTGCGGTACTGGATTCGAGTCTCATAGTGAACGTCAACTCTGAGATACAGGTACACCAAGCTGACGACTCCCAGGTGGGGTGAAACGTGCGTCCTGGATTCCCCTGCTAGCCACTAATCATCTTCTCTTATAAATATCATAATAGTTTGAATACTTAGGAGGTGCGAAGCGTTGACGATTCCGTATTTATGTGAACATCTAATAATAATTGATCACGGTTTCTTATGACTATTTTGGCAAATTAGCTTGGATAACATACTCTGAATTTATTACTTTCACAATAAACAAATTAGTAAACCTCAGCAATTGCTTATCTCTCTTTCTCAATAATAATTGGAATCTGTTATTCAAAAAATCCACTTAATCATTTAGTCTAATTGACTATACTGTACTACATTCAGTATGATTTAGTTTCATCATCCAAATTCGAAATTTTTTCGCTCTTTCCAAAATGAAAGAGAAGTTTAGATTTTTCAGATTTTAATCTTTTTAGCTTATTCTAATAAATCTGAGAGTACTTGTCTTCCAATTGATATTTATAAAAACATCCGTGAAACTGTAAAAACATTTGAATAATTAAGAAAGTTGTGGATTATGAACCACAGAAAATAAATCTTTATGTAATATGATCATTTTTTTTCTAAACTTTAGTTATTTTATTAGGTGAAACTAATAGGTGTAAGCAAAATTATCATCAGATATATCAAGTTTCAATAAATTGTCGGTTTAAAATCGTTTGAAATACAAGAATAGAGAATTTATTGTATATTTTTACTCCATGTTAAGGATGAGGATTATCTTATTGTTGAAACCTTTATTTAATTCAATAATATTTATTGAAACAAGCCTATCTGAAAGATAAGTTTAATGAAAGAAATAAAAATAAACCATTGCATACTTTATATATGAATCATGATAATGTTCTAAATCTGAGACTGAGCACTTGCAGTCCTAAACATCAGTGGGAAGATACACGGAAAGCAATACCAAGTGAATTTAGACATCATCCCATTGAACAAGCAAGTGGCTATCAGGATTCAGTAACTAAGTGGATAATGCAATGGTGTTTGAAGTGAACGATACTCGGTTCTAGTCCCAGAGTGAATATCAACACTGCGATGCAGACACATCCAGCTGACGAATCCTAAATAGAACGAAACACGTGGCCTGTATTCCACTGCTAGTCACTATCGATCTTTGCTTATAGTGCTTGTGACTTAAGGCAATATCGAGGTAATATGCACAATAAGCAATAAGAGACTGATAAATTGCATTCTTAAACATTAAAAGGAAAATTCAAGTAAACATTACTATGTGAATTTATTATGATATTTTTTTATCATTCTTCTAGTATGAAAGTAATATTCATTTTCATATCAAATATTTGACCTAATTAAATGGTTTTCTAATGTACATAATAAATAGTAATTTTATGGACAATAAATAAGAGAAGCAAATGATAGGTTAAAAAGGCGGTAAATAGTCTACGGTGATGTATTTAGGAACAAATGTCATCCCGTAGATTTTCCACTTTTTCTTAGTGAATAAGTCTTTTTAATATGTTTAAATTTAAACTTTATGTTATCAATTATCTTCGTGGTGAGTATAAACCATTTGGTAGGTATGGGAGTTTTATTAATTATCTTAGGTTTAGAATTACCACGTTTAGTTCCATGCCGTTTTCAAGGGATTAATGAATTTTCAATGTATCTTTTATTCCAGAGAAAACTGTTTACTGAACAAATATGATTACTTTTATTGTCTACTTTATTTCTGTTTCAAACTGTGTTTTTTTTGCATCAACCACTATTTATTCGTAATACTTATATGAATTTTTACTATTTTGTCTTTATTTTGGTCCGTTATTCAACAGTTACTGTTGTTCTGTTTGTATAATTATTACATCATTAAAATGTAAGGGTTTGTATAAGGACATTTTTTGTATTTCGGTCTAATAGTTTGCTGTGGTCAATGTGGTTTGCGCCATTCCACCCGTATGGTAATTTTTCTTTTTTTTAGGGTATTGTAAAAGAATCAGATCTTAATCAGCAGAATGGGCACGAAAAGCTTAGCATCGACAATATATATCATGTTGGTGGTTGCCATCAATCTCATTCAGATAGTGAAAACCTAGAGAAACTAAAAACGGCCTTAAGGCAAGCCTTGGGATTAGATCCAAATTTACCAAAACAATGTGTTATGATGGATTTGGAACATCAAAATAGGTAACTGTGACTATTTAAAATGGTTACTTTAACATTTATGTATAATTTTCCATCTGTAATTTAGACTATCTTTGCTTGCAATAGAAATGCTAATAGAACAAGAAGATATTGATGTACATCCATATGGAAGAGGTGGAATTTACGAAGGAATATTGTACAGAAACAGGCCAAAAGAAAAAATTAACATCATTTCGGCGTTTATTTGGTTCGTTTTTGTTAGTTCGGTTGCTATTATGGCTGGGACAATTGTCACTGTAGCAGGTAAACACAAGTTGATGTATAAGTTTTAACATAAGTAATTTGGTATTTATAATGTTTATGCAGAGTTGCATGAACTAAGGTTGTTATCTCGTAACCAAGAGTTTAAGGATGAGTAAAATAGTTCAAAAACAGGTAAAGTTGCATAAGAATACAATCGATATCAACTTGTGTTCAGAACCAATGTTAAAGTTAATATGGTAACGTTCAAACAACATTTTAAAGATTTTTCACATCACGCTTTACCACCATGATCTAGGTAGCAAATGAAAATCAATAAAGATTTGATAGCTGATTCGTTCTACTTTCAAGCTATTTAGAAGTTTGTACCTACGGATCAAATCCAGGACATTTGGGACTTGGAATGGGTGTGATACTCTAGACTGCGAAGGTTGGATCTCATATGTCACTGTTTCGACTTTATATAGTTCGTGATATAATCTGTTATTGAACAATAACAGAGTTACATACTTCAATACCGATAAATACAAACACCATAGGTCTGATGATGTTACGGATATTCAGAGTTTGACAACGATTTTGTTCGTAACGCCTTTATAACTGAAAGATGCTAAACTCAATCAAACCAGAAGTCAGGAGTGAAGTAGTTCGATGATATTTTTGAAATTTATTCGATATATCGACGTAAGCTGACTAGTTGTTACGACGGATGCGTAGCATAGCCAGAATTTTATTCTTAACCAGCATGCCGTCTGTAAGCACTCTTCTGATGGCTTCCTACGTTCAGCAACGCTACAAGTCGTTTTTCTTTACATAAGTTGGGGAATCAAAACCAGGATAAGACAGTTTCCATGCGTCTCTTTGTTTACAGTTATACTTCAGTGATCTCAAACCAACTTCAAACTGAAAAGTCGACACAAAACCCTATCTTATTCAGTGACTCTTTTCCTTTGTAGAACTTTACTACTTCTTGAAGTCAGAAAATACAAATGAAGATAAAATGGCTTTCTGTAACTTTTTTAAAAACTGTTTGAAAGTCAAGCCATTTCAATGAAGAATTCTTAGCTTATATTATTGACAATGCATCCCTACCAGACACTTAGTTCTATCTAACAAATCTATAGATCCATAGAATAAATAGTACATTCAATTCTTTAACTATGACTTATCTGCTGAAAAGTAAATCAGTTTATTCCTCTTTGAGTAAACCTTTTAGTTCTGATAGTTCTTTAATTTCCTAGACTACTGTTCTTACTTTAACTGAAATAAGTTCGGTTAACATGCCAAAAAAGTACTGTTTTTCAAATAGTTTGTGCTTTTTTTTATCATTGAACTATCATTGAGTTGTTTTCTGCTTTGTATAAATATCTGCTAATTTGCAAACCGGTATTCTTTAATTTCCCTATGTTTGTGCAGTAGCATTATTACATCGTAACACGTATGCATTGTAGACAAATTGCTTAAACACAAACAATGTGTAATCATAAGCTTTATAGATTATGCACATGGCTCGAACGTACATTCTTAATCTATACACCCAAAAGATCTGTCATGACACTTGTTTTGTTGGCACACAAATCAAATCCCGACCGTTTCAAAAAAGTGTAAAGTTGACTGTCAAATCTGAAGCGTCAAAGTTTAGATGGCAAACTCGGAATAAAGAGGCGCCACTGAAACAAAAGCAAAGTTTTGAAATAGTAATTCGATTTCAACTACACTTTACGAGGTATTGAATATGAACTACAAATTGAACAAGGCAAAATAGGATTGTTATGTTTTATTACTACTGATTAAAATATACAACAAAGCACTCATTCCTTGAAATAAAGTAGTCAGTAAAACTTAAGGGAAGGGTACTTTACTAAGAGAACTACAGTTTTATTCTTGAGTTACTCATGTGAAGTACTTGTATCTCACAAATCCATTAATAGTACTAGGACATCGCTGTGTTCCGAAAGATGAAAAGTTAGCCGTGTATGTGAATTTTATTGACATTGGTAAGGCTATTAAGAAAGTCTCACACATCAAATTATCACCAGTGTTAAGAGATTTCAGAATCAGAGTCACTTTGCTTCTGTGGATAAACGATATTTTAGCTAAACAAAAGGGCGTAGTATAGGCTGACTTCAAGTTTTTTAGATGTAAAACAGTGAGCATATCGGTGAAATGGGGGTGTTTATTATTCACTGTCTCGGGTGGAATATGATTTTATTCTTTATTCTTCAAAAGACGCCAGAAGAGAACAAACCTCTGTAAAACTCTGTTGCACATAAACTATTTATTGAATAGAGTTGATATTTTGCGTAATAAGATGAACACATAATGCCAGTTTTATAATACAATGGCATAGTTGAAATTTCCTAGCAATCTTAAGAAATTTCAGCCCCAAATATCATTGACCTCCACAAAGCTGTCCATTAGTGAAACGATATTCGACATCAGTTTAAAAGTTTTTATGTGATTGGCTTAGTTGTATAACATAATCAGGTATATAAAATCTTACAACAAACAATTATTTTGGACGAAACTGTGCAAAACGTAGCACGAAATGTGTCGAACAATCGTCATGAAATGACATTGATGGCAGCAACGAAAATTACTAGAAATGGTGAGAGTAACTCATAAAATTTAAAAATCCGTTGGAACCATATTAATTTAAATGATGAACCTGGAATGTTGAAATCTTTAACTTCTGATCGTTCGTAACGAAACCGAATTGTTTACCTAGTTTGCTGGGTCGTACACTATGCTTTTAAGTAGTGATATGGTCGATTTATAATAATGATATATATGATTTAAAAAACAGTTACCCGTTACGATTACCTGAAATAAACTTTCGACCTTTGTGATATTGTTGGTTTTTCTGGTCTTACAAACTGAAAAATACGTTTAGGTAGTCGATTATTAAGTCTAACGTCGACCCTGAAATGACCAATCTATACTTTCACGCTAGTGCTGAAATTTTGATCTTGACTGAAAATAGAACTCCTTAGCTATTTCAGAGCTCACAATTGCTCTTAACTTTGAGCGAAACGAAAGTATTAAGGCGCTTGTATTCTTGTCTGACCATCCATCTTCTAAGTTCAAGCTGGCCACATGTATCGGCTAATTGTTCAAACTTTCAAATGCTTATTAAACACAATCACCAATAATTTTTGCGAACTTCAACATCACATACAGATCATATACGTACGTATATGTCAAGGGTTCACAAAATCATAACTACTATCTTGATGTGGTGGTAGAGTTTATCTTTCGTGATGACTCGTTTGAGCTATATTGACTGAAATACGTGTTCCTTCGTGTCCTATCATGCCAGGCAGGTCGTGTGTAGGACGAAAAAACTTGAAGGAGCAATTCGAGGTTCATGAGAGACATTTTACTGCTGAATGTCAAGAGGTATGAGAGTATTAAGGTGTTTACCTCGGAAAACCGGCATTTAGTAGTGGAGTTGATTTCTCGTTATAAAACAAGAGCGTTAGAAAATATCAACCCTTAAAATTTCATGTAATTGATTCTTTTCATAAAATTGAATAAATCTGGAAGAAAGATGGATGCAGAATAATATGGATCCATTAAATTCCATGGTGTCTCATAAGCTGCTTACGACCACCTATGTATTGAAAGGAACTGGCCGGAGGTCATTTGGTGTTGGAATCCAAAAACATATATGCAGCGTGTGAAGCAATATTTAACTGAGGTTTAGAGACAAATAAGGTAAATTGTATGATAATCTTAGAGGTAATGAAGATTTTACATAAGATTCTTGGAATTAGAAAACTGATAAGCTGGGTTACATAAAGATTGAACAGAGTATTGCGTTGATTTTCAAATCCTTTCCCAAACTCTCATTAATTCCCCGATTCCCACAAATAGTCCTTGTATATCTTTATCATTGCACCCCGCCAATGCTAATGATTTGGATTCACGAAATGTTTTACCTCATCTACTGAAACCACGCTCTGAATAACGTAATAATAATACGTATCACCAGGACAGATACACGCCACTCTTACAGACATGTTTGAGCTGTATTTGTTCAAACCTTGTGCCGGATGGAAAAACAGGCATTGTTGGCAAGAACTCCAGGACGTCACACCATCGACGCACCTGGAAGTGATGGTGGTTGATTTTTATGCCCAAGTAAGTAAACTTAGGGAAACCGAAATTCACTGAGGCGAATCTTTCAGTGTCGTGGCTACGCGAATAAATAATGGTCATCTTTTGTTGAAATTACGCCTAGATGTTAGCTTAGTTCTACCAAACGCAGACCTTAAACAAAAGGAAAAACGTCGCTTGACGTGGCGAGCAACCAAAATGACTCAACGATGGACTTGGGCCGACCACATTTCCATTAGCCTACATCCAATTCTTAGTGAAGTCGAAAAGGTTATAATTAATCTAAAGCTATGGAGAGCAGCAAAACTCGATTAGTTTTTACGAGCTTGCTTCACTTGTGGCCTGGCAATTCGCGAGTCTGTAGTAATTGAAGTTTCTCGCAGACTCCTGCCTCGTTAGGTGAGTCAGACATCAGGGCCCATGGAGAACGGGACAGGAAGAAACAGGATACTAGTTAAGGACGGCAAATCGATTGATGAGCTGGTAAAACTTCAACAACTTAGGTGCTTTAGACATTTCTTATGCATGCCCAGCCACCGCCTACCTCGACGGTCGATGTTGTCTGGTGTAGGAGTAGGCTAGTGAAAAGCTAGAAGAGGTCAAACCAAGACAAGGCATCAGTCCGTGAAGCAAATGACGATTGAACTGAGCCATGTTACCAGGTACAGACCGTCTGGCTGGAGTCCGTGTGATCAGCGTAATCAATTATTAGAGACTTCAAATGATACGGCTCAAAATCACTTGCAATGACACAGGCGCCTCTGTGTTTACCTCATATTCTGAGATTCTAAATTTATTGCAATATTATCTCTCTAATTTGTACTTTCTCGAATTTTAACTTAGACGTGTAATATTTCATGTCAGAACTAGTGCTATTAATACCTCCACAATTTCAAGATTTAGCCGGACATTTTGATCTCTCTGTGCTAATGGTCTATGACAATTGAACCGTTTCACATACGTTACTGGTTTCACTTTGTGACTGACCGACGGACTGAGAAAAACCCATAAAGTTTTTTTAGAATGAATGTACCAACTGGACATCGGTCGGACTTGCAGCGTTACCCTACCTCCAGTAAATATTGTCATCAAGATATCAAGAAAGCCATATTCACTTTCATTTTGTACATGAAGATTTACTGAAGAAAACTAAGTGGATCCGTGATTTCGCAAAATCAAAATATCACTGCAAGTTTTCCAAATTAGGCCACATTCATTCTAGACGTGGTTAATGCATGATTTCAATCATTTCGAAACAGAAGACCAACTCGACTACATTATTTTTTAAAACCTAGATCTGTCCGAACACTTTGTTGAGCTCTCCGTATAACAAGTCATGGTACTGTAGCGGTAAATAAATCTCCAAAATAAATAGCTCTGTAAGTTTTCGACATTAGATGCTGAACACAGGTCTTAATGGACTAACCTAGCTAAAGGCGCTCGGTCATGCATCCTCACCAGATCACGTGTGGGAACGCCGTGCTCAACATCTACTGCAATCGCTAGCCAGATTAGATCACACGATTCTCGATATATTGGTAGTCACCAAATATAGCTTCCAGTCTCCTCGGTTCTGTCTTTTGATTTCTCTTGGTGAGTACGAGTTATATTAGAAGGTGTTACTGGTTAAAGCGCTGTCAAACAATGAATACTTGTGGCATCTTCATTGGTAAGCCCGGCGTAATCTGGCATACCAAATCGTAAACTGTGAGTCTGTTCCTTTTTGGGATTCTATATATCATTGCCGTATCTTAATTTTTTATACATTGTGATATTTTTTCTCGCGTTTTTGGATATCTATATACTTTTCACTCGTGTATTCTCCTACTTCGTTTTCCCTTATGACTGAACAGAACCCCAAGGTTTTTAAGATCAAGACTTTGTCCACACCCTCGTTCCAACTCATGCCTTTCTGGCCAGACAATATCGAAGCCTGGTTCTGCTACG